TCCTATATTGATTACAATTACCGATCCACCGGTATACAGCTGTTTCAGCCTATTGGGCATCATCAGTACCGGGCAGGCGGTCCTCGATTGAAGACAATATGTGAATAATCAATAAAAGTACCCAATAAAAATAACTGCGTAAACGCAAGCGAGATATAAGTGGAACCACCTATTGATGTGACACCCAAGTCAACTTCCCAAATTTCTGCTACCGCAGTTGTCGGTTGATTGGTCAAACCACCAACACTGACATAAAAACTTGGCAAATTGACTTGGGATTTTTTTTCTTTTGGAAAATTTTGAATTACCCCCGTATGATACATATTTTTACTATTTTGATTTAATATGTATTTGAAGTAGCTGCAATCAAATCAGTTTGGAGTATTTTTCATCAAATTAAAGTGTATTTGTGAAATTAACTTGGATTTGTATTTTTTTAGGTGACCGTCAACTTCATGTTTGTTGTAACGATATTTGACAGGACTCTAGAATAAAGCAAATACTCTTTTTAACGAGGCAAATACTTTACTAACTAAATGTTCATATGAAAGTATAAAATTGCTTTCATTCTGACAACAATGCCTCAACTAGAACAGATATTAAAAAACAATCCAAAATCTATCGCGGATAGCCATGAACAAAAAACACATACGCCCTCAAAACAATACTGTAGTTTGATAGTGTGACTTCTTAAAACTTGCCTTTAAAACGTTTTCATATTTGTCCTTAATTAAAAATGCCTCGCCAAGTATGTGTGATGGTTATAAAACAATGCACGAAGCTGCAAATATTTTCAACAAGCGGCATCCAGACAAAAAAATTTGCTATTCAAGTGTAAGTAGAATTCTAAAGAATTGCAAATAGACCGGCTCACTAGAATATAAACATAATACGGAGCGTACGAAACCTGTATGCACAGAAGAAAACCAGCTTGACGTACTTCAAGCAGTAGTAGAAAATCCTAGAAGGTCCACCCAAGAAATTAGTGATTATACCGGCATAAAAAAACCTCTGTGAAGCGTATTCTCAAGAAACATACATTCATTTTTACATTTCGAAAAAGAGACTTCGATTTGAGATATGATTTTTTCATGTGGAATCAGAGTGAAATAGAAGAACAACGAGATTTTCATCGATGTATTCTGTTTGGAGATGAATCTACTTTAACAACAAATCAATATTAACAGAAAACAAACGTTTGGTGTGGTATATTAAATGATAAATTACTAGGTCCGTTTTTTTTCGTGAGAATTTGAATGGTGACAGCTACTTGAACTTTTTGGAAACTGAAATAGGAGAGTTTTTGGATGATATGGTATTAGAAGAACGGCAAACGTTATTTTTCCAACATGACTGAAGTCCTGCCCATTCTACTAGAAATGTTTCTCAGTTGCTGAATAGGAAATTTCGTAATAAATGGTTAGGACAAAATACCGATCATCGATGGCCTCCTCGTTCTCCAGACCTTACACCTCTAGATCATTTCTTATGGGGATACTTAAAACAAAAAGTCTATAGAGATCGCCCCTTTAATAATGTTGATGAGCTTGAAACTTCAATACGAGTTCATTGCAGAAATATTCCCACTAATGTGTTGCGATCTACATTAAACGAATTTTATGAGCGGACAATTAGATGCATCGAAAGAGAAGGTGGACATACAGAGACGCTTCAATAATTTCTATTAGCACCTGTTAAGTTGTTAAGTTATCTACTGTATTTTTCTGTCCTTTGGCTTATTGGTTCTTTTTTGTTCATGGCTATCCGCGATAGATTTTGACAGTTTATTCATATGAACATTATACTTGTAAAATATTTGCTTCGTTAAAAAGAGTATTCGTTTTATTCTAGAGTTCTGTTAAATATCGTT